TATTTGTTCAGATTTTTAATAACAACCTGCAGAAGAATGTTCATCCCCAAGGCAAGAATATTCCAGCTTCTTTTCTGAAGTCCACTGTTCATAATTTAGAATGTATTTTGTGATAGAAACAGAACTACTTGTCTTTGATGGTGTTTTTCCCAACTTCATCTCAAAGGTGATTAGTACCTGGTTTCCATAACTCTGGGAATAATTGGCTACCTTTTAATGGGGGTTAATGACAGCATAATGAAGACAGATGAACAACTATAGCTCAGTTAGGCCTCCTGACATCCAGAGCCATGTCCCGTCTGTGGACCCAGATAGTTTTCAGGTAAATATAGTTCATCCTTGTATATCCAGCTTCACTGAGACCAATACAACTGCGGTCATTAAAACCTGAATACTCTGGGACTGTATGGCAAGATATAGTTTACTTGTATAAACAAATACCCACTACAATTTTTTCATGAGACTTTTAAACAGCTGCATAGATTTACTGCGGATAAGCATCCTGTTTGGTTGCAGGGAAAATTACACTGTCCCAGTTGATTCACATAATAAACCAGCGCTTCCAAAGAGCAGGCCAGGATCAATATTTTCTTGGTATAATCAAACCAGTTTGCAAGAAGCAAAGAAAATCCAGGTGACTGTATTTCCAGGCAACTTTTGCATCAAACTCTGGTGCTTACCTGTAGATAATTGCACATTGCAGAAAAGGAATGTTTAGTGTGTGGTTTTTTTGTGTACAGTATTTATTTGTACAAACCATTAGAGCTTCTGCACTAAAATGATTGCAGTCCACCACTCTATATAGTGGTTGAGGTTACAAATCTTCCCAAAACCGTTTTATAGATTTCCTGGAATGAAATTATCTTCAGAGACAGTTAATCATCGCTTGCTTTATACTTTATATTTGCCTCTAATTTTGGCTCAGTTCTTTTTGTTTTTTATCAGTTGGGTCAACCTCATTTATTGCGCACATCCCAATATTTTTGGTTATTTTGTCAAGGGAAACCTCCCTTAAGATTTCAAAAGTTGCCATCATTGATGAATTCGTGAAGTGGGCACCAAGTTCACTAGCAAATTCCTCAAAAACAGTCCTGAAAATTTTCTATAGAATGGCAGTGTCACAGGCTTTGGGATATAAATTTTTCATTGTTTTTAACCTTGATGAGGTAAGGAGAATGTGGTAGAAACTGTTGCCTTCCAGAAAAAATGAACATATTCATATATCAACACATTTGTATGTCTTTTACAAGGGATTGGTAGTTCACTAGAGTATACCCAGGGATCCCCTAGCATAAAGGATGTCTATTCTAAGGGGACAAAACAACGGTGCTTAGTTTAATTTATAGTTTAGGTATATTTATATAAAATTCAGTAATGTCATTTGTCATCACAGTTTAAATCCATAACATATATGTATGTGTGTGTGTGTGTATATATATATGTGTGTGTATATATATATATATATATATATATATATATATATATACACACACATATATATATATGAATGTATCCATTAAATGACTTACTTTTTGGAATTTCCATTTCATGGGGGTTTTGTGTTAATGAATTTTAAGTATTCAATGTTCTTTTCAACCTCTTTCAATGAGAGGGTTTTTTAATTTATGAAAGTTTTTTTTATTCTTGTTAATCTTTAAAGCATATCTATGTATAGACTTTGCCTTGAATACTTGATTTCATATCACCTTTTAAAAAACTCCTTTAAATATGACATTGACTTTACAGTATTTGAAAGTCAGAATCTACATGTAAATTTAATTCTACTTTCTGCTATAAATAATATTGACTAAATCTCAGAATTAGGTGATAACTGTTTTACATTTTTTAACATTACCAAATGATAATTTTTAGAATTATATAAAATGGCAATCCAAGGTGCTACAAGAATTTAGTATTTGTATTTTTCATGATAGCTTATAGAACTAATAAGCTCTTTGTTACCATTTATATAAGTGTCTTATCCTGTTTCAATTGCCATTACAAAATTCCACAAAGGGAAAAGCTTATAAATAAAAGATACTCACTTCTAATCAATACATATCATGTTGCATAGTGAGACCCTGTCTCAAAAAGACACACAAAAAGGCAACAATATATATCATGTACAGGTAAAAATTATCTATGATGATTGTGATCTTTATGTATATCTAAAATGTACAAGTAAATAATTAATTTTGAAAAAATTTATATTCACTTCTCACAGTTCTGGAAGCTGTGAAGTCCAAGACAAAATTGCTGGCAGAATCAGTGTCCATTGAAGGCTCACTATCCAGTTCACAGAGCTTCTTTGCTGTGTCCTCCATGGAAGAAGAGTTGAGGGAGCTCTTTCCTGAGGGCAGTAACACTGCTTTTGAGGGTTCCACTTTCATGACCCAGTCACCTCTCAAAGGTCCTATCCCCTAAAGCCAGCACCTTTCAAGTTAGGACTTTAGCATATGAATTTTAAGGGACACAGCATTCTTACCATACCACTGTATATATTTCCTCTCTGTCATTATGTATAATAATTTCATATGAGTATGCAATGCAGCTTCCCTTTCTCCCTAAACAGAAGAGCTGCACTGTCATTTCAAACCCACAGCTAAGCATGATTTAATGTGATCTATTTATTAAAATATACAAGATTAAATCCAGTCTTGGCTAAATTTTATGAGGCTGGAAATTCAAGCAATCTTTTTAATAGAGTAACTTCAGCAGAAAGCATCATAGCCACTTGGTTATTTGTGAATGTTATCATTACTGGCAAATGTGAAGATAGAACCATTTCTGGAGAACAGACTTACACAGATGACAGAGAGGGATTGGTAATGAGTCATGGTGATATGAAATTCCTGTCATCACATAAACGCATGTATATCTGTGTACATAATGACATGTATATTTGTATATGCAAACATGCTGAAATTGTATTTTTAAGGTGCATATTCTTTCACATATTTTATTTCTAAAAGTCAGGATATGTCTTAGAATTTATAAGGTGTCATAGTTTATTTGATAACATTACATAATACTGGAAATCCAAATTGATAATATCTTGGCTTCAATGAAATGCATTATATACACTGCACAAAAAATTATGTACAGCATATAAGCTCAGAAAAGGCTTCAGTAATGTGAAAGCAACCCTCTGAGGAAATTGGAATTAATCGTGTTCTAATTTGCGGAAGACATAGATTTTAATGATGAAACATGAACAAGGCAGTAATTAGATTTTCAAATGTTTTTCACCCATCTTATGAGAATCATTAGAACACTCATAAATGTATAAACTCAATGTAAATAACCTTCTAAATGACAATACTTAAGTAAGAATTGTGCAGAGAAATACTGTTCATATAACTAATGTATATTATTAAATGTTAATGAATAAATTCCAAGTGCATATAAAAGTTTAAGTAATCCTAAGTTGCTGATGTTGACAGAACTGAGTGTTGAACAAAGCTACATATCCAAAGATAACATTTTCTGAAAACAAAACTAAAAAACTTTCATATTAGCCTTATACAGATAGTTTACTTTTCAACCATTGTTTATTCTCAGTGTTATTGGAAAACAGGACTTTTTTGAGTCCATAGTAGCTCTAAAATTTAAAAGGGCACCTTTTAATGGGAGTTGGTTTAAAACAATTTGACGTGAATGAGGTAACAGTTTGGAAAATATGTGCATGCTCCAGTTTGCTTCCAAATTTTGACTTTTAAACTTATTGTCAGTCTCAGAAAGATATAAGAAACAGTGCAGATAATTAAACATTTGCCCTGGAGGAATTATTTGCAGTTAATTAAAACCATACACTTCAGGTGTATACTCGCTTCACTGGTTATTAAATTTGAATCAGATGTTAACTACCTAGGTTTCTCACTTGCCCATCAAATGTTGCTTGTGGCACATTGAAGAAACAAACTTTCTCATCACAATCCAATCCATAATATTTGAAGCTGTTTCCCAGTTTTGAGGAGGAGAGAAGAGAAGGAAAAGAAGGAAGAGGGAAAGGGAAGCAAAAAGGATGACTGGTGTTAGACTGCATCAGATTCAGCTCTGTTGGGAAGTTAACACTCAACTGAGAGATTCAAACCCAGTAGGGAACTCACTTGTAAGTAGCACAGGTGTAGGTAGGTCTTCCTTCTCCAGCTGACTCTCGGTCATATGCTGACAAGGTTATCTAGTGGTTTTTGGATATCTTTAAATTACTTTTCTTTTTTAGCTACATAAAATATATCTGCCAGATTATAAGCTCCAGAAAGGTAGAGATTTAGTTTTTATTTTCCTTGTTGCCTGCTCAGCATTCAAAACAATTTCTGGCATGTAGTTAATATTTAATATTTGTGAAATGAATGAAGGAGTAATCTCCTATATTCCTGTCAATCTAAGCATGGGCGTGTTCCAGTGCCTTCTAAAATAACTTCTAGAGAGACCTGGAAACATTCAGAATTGCAGTTTGCAAGAGCCCAGAACCATCGAGTCCTTTTAGCCATATTATCTCCTGCATAACATTAATTATAACAAAAAAAGATATGTACTCTGATTCCATATCTAAATGAGGTATGAGAAAGAACAGCATTACACGGAACTGGTTTGCATTCCCTTGTTCTGTTGTTCAACTCTTCTGGTACCCAGGGAAGATGATCTTAATTACCACTGGATTTCCAAGGTGCTATATCTGACTTTCTCAAGGATTCAAGGCTCCCATATATGAATAACTACAGTCCTGCAAGCATTAAGAATGTTAAAATTAGATATTCCCTTAATCTTCTCTATTTTTGCCTTTCTTTCATATCCTTTTCCACAATTCTAAGACTTTTCGCTGACGCAGGAAACCTGCTTTATAATTTTTTCTTTGCTGCAAAAAAGACACCCCCCAACTACACCTCTTCCTTTGTAAGGTTTGTGCTTGCTCTCACAAACAAATCTCTCATGTCAGTGTTGGAAGCTGCTTTTATCTCAGTTAAAAAGCGCTGATCAAAGTTTTACTTTATTGTCAGAGTCTGCAAAGGATGGCAATATTACAAAAGACAATGAAGTAACAGATCATTCTGTGTGTGACCAAGATCACCCCGATGGTAAGTTGTGAGATCTTTTGCTCACCTTTATTTCCTCATTGGGAAATATTAAATTGTTTAAGAACCAGACTTGAGTGTTTTTTCTGGAAAAATGGAATTCTGATAATATTTTGTTAATGCCAAGTACCAACTGACTGATAGTCACGATCTTGAGGTGGGGTTTTGCTCTTGACATCCTCATCACTCATTCTTTTTGTACCTGGCTGGCTTTGTTTACTTTATGTACTGTTACCTGCCTGGATTCTGTAAGCTTTGAGCTCACAAGTAATGAAATGAATGTATGATAAGAATGACAGTAAATGGAAGTTGTCTAGAGAATAAACCCATGAGATTAAATCTACATATCCTTGGACTATCAAAAAGAGAGAATAGAACTAACAGAAATGAAGGAGTCTTTTGAAAAATAATTGAAAAGTGTTTTCCTAATGCAAACCAGTTTCTCTGCCCCATACACTAAGATACACATTGTATTTATAAGCAAAGATAATGAAAGCTCAAATGAGAATAGACACCTACATAGCCTCATGGGATTTCTGAAGATCAATGATAAAGAAAGGCTCTGAAAGCAGACAAAAAAGGAAAACTCAGGATATAGGCAGCATCACCAGAGTCAGACTGGTCTTTGCCTTCTTCTCCACTAAATTACAAGGGAAAATGAGGTGACAGTTCCAGAACTCTAAAGGACACTGCTTCTATATTTAGTGATGTCCTATTCATGCATGAAGTCAAAAGTAACATTTTCTCAGTAATACAAAGATTAAGAAAATATGCCACCCAGATATACTTTCTGAATAAACTAACCAAAGGCATGTACAAAGGATTAAATATAGAAAGGAAGACAAAGTTTATGTCTGAGAATGGCAAAGTTAGAAAAGACTATATGGAGAAGATTAAGTAAACATATGAAAATGCTAGAATAATTATTTCAAAATTGGTATCAATAAGATCAGGCAGGGTGGCACATGCCTATAATCTCAGCACTCGGGAGGATGAGGCAGGAGGATCATTGCTAATTGAAGACCAGCTTGGGCTAGAAAGTGAGCTCAAGGCCAGCCTGAACTGCATAGCGAGACCCCACCTTAAAAAGACAAAAAAAAATTAGTATCAATATATATTATCTAAATATGTTTTAACACTGAAATTTATTGTATATGCTGTATAAAAAGTAGCCAAAAAAGAAGAAACAAGGTACAATGAAACATAAAGAGATAAGTAAGCCCATATAAGCTGAAAAAACCAATCACAAACTCAAAGTATAAAATAATTATTCCAACTATGTATGTATACAGAAATAAAGATAAGATGAAAAGTTATATCAGGGAACTGGATATTGAAAAACAAAAAAGAAATCCTAGAAATAAAAGATGTTATAACTGAAGTTAATGATTCAATGAACAATTTTATGCCTTAACAACATATTAGACACAGGCAAAAGAGAATTTATTGACTAAATGTAAGGGTAAAAGAATATATCCAAAATAAAATCAGCAGAAAAGAAAAGAATGAAAACACTAAAGAAGGAAAAAAGATACTGAAGTTACGATGATTAAGTCTATCACAAGTTACAAGAGAAAAAGAATCAGTCCAAGGCAGTATTTGAAGAAATGGTGGTGAGAAATATCCTATATTGATAAAAGATTCTGGCCAAATGTTCCAAAAGCCCTTTGAACTCAAAGCGGAATAAATAAAACTTAAATCCACAACTAAGCCCATTAGAGTAAAACTGCTGAAGGCCAAAGATAAACAGAACATCTAAAAAGCAATCTTCAAACATTTATATGATCACTGACTTTTCAATAGATATAATGGAAATAAAACGACAAGACAGTGAAGGAGCTGCCAGCCAAGGATTCTAAACCCAAGGGAAGAGCATGTTTCAAAAACCAGGTTTATTAAGAATATTTCAGAACAGGGGGCTGGGGATTTAGCTCAGCGGCAAAAGCGCCTGCCTGGCATGCGCAAGGTCATGAGTTCGGTTCCCGGTACCGGAGAAAAACCAAAAAAAAAGAATATTTCAGAACAAACTAAAGGTGCACAATTCATCACTAGTGGTGTCTAATGATCCATAGATAGGAAGATACTAATTCCAGATAGATGATCAAAGGAAAGAATTAAGAACAAGGTAAGTGGTAATTACTGGGGAAGTTTAAATGAATATTGATGTTACAAATCAATAATAATACCAATGTCTTGTAGGAGTAAACTATACATTGCATTAAAATATTTCACAATAAGCCAAAGTCAAATTTCAGTCTAGAATAGGCAATCCAGTGACTTAGTGTGATCCTGTTTTAAGATAAAAAAAAAAAAAAATTAAAGGCTAAAGATGTAGGCCTTGGGTTCAGTCCAAAGCACTGTAAGAAAAAACGTCCAGAGTCATGGTGTTTACTGGACTAAGTTCCATTGTCACAAAAAGTAAAAGTACCAATTGATGTTGAAATTTCATGAGTCTTAGAAATCTCTAAGCATCAAAACATGAAGTGAGCCCTATCAGTGTCCCAGCTGAATGCATGGAAATAATTTTCAGGCTGTGGTACAGAGAGGAAGACCTTAGGCAGAACCCAGTAGACTCCTTGAGTTGAAGAAATGTCTGTCAGGGACTTAGGAAGCTCACTTGCTAGAGTGTGGGGGCAGAGTCCTGGAGAGGGAAAAGCTCTCTAGAAGACAAGCTGGGTATTTAGGAAAAGAAATTACCAAGGCCTAGGTAAATATTGCTGAAAGACTTGAGAGACTAACCCTTGAATTAATACAGGTACAGGAGGAGGCCCTGGTCCCACCAGCCAGGCTAGAAAACCAGAAAATGTATAGAGAACTCAGAACTATTTTGTTTCTATAATAGAACAAAATGAGCAATAGACTAAATGCTACTCTGGCCCTCCTTCTGTGTCTTAAAAACAAGATTTTCAATGTTCAAGCTTTGCCTGAGTGACTTGACTGTGTCCTAGAATGAAGCTTAAGAATATTTATTAGAATCTATCTCACACCCCACAAATAAAATTGACCAAATTCCCAGGTATGCAAAGAAATACTAGCAGAAAGTTTTCCATGCCTCTTTCATGTTTTGCATGTCTTGTGAGCAGGGGTACTGATTGCTTTTGCTCTAACTAATCTTTTCAAGAATGTTCATATAACAAACAACTTTTAAAAACAGAGAAAATGTCTGCCTTTGATACAAAGAATAGGGTTGCTTATATCCATGGAAGATGGAGTAGTAGTTACCTCCAGATCAAAGAACAGACATACTTACTGTCTGCCACAAAAGATTCAGATTCTCTATGTTCAAGGGCCCTTCCTGCGATACAACCTACTAACTGTGTAGATACATGTTGGCCCGTCAGGTCACCCTGTGGAACTAGGGCCCCCGGAATGGCAAACACATTCTGATTAACGCTATTGATTTGAATATGAACCATCTTCTCATCAGATTAACATGTTATTTGCAAGTTGGGAAAAATCTCAGATCCTTCATAATTCTTTACAAGAAGCAGGGAAAGTATGAAGCTAGGAAAAGAAAAGTCAATTACGAGAAGTCAATTCAGAAATTGTACAGATCATTAATATGAAGGAACATTTAAAATTGTTATAGCTGAATTCCATGTTTTGAAGATGCTACAAGAAGTATTGATCATATTAATTTATGACATGAAAGATGTAAAAAGACCCAAATTGAGTTTCTAGAGATCAAAACCACTGTGCCTGAGACAAAACTTGCAATCAATAAGAGTAATGACAGGCACTGCAGAAGATTACTAAATTTAATATGTAGCTATGGAAATCATCCAAATTGAAACAAAAAGAGAATCAATGACTGAATAAAATGAGAGATACACCGCTGAACTAAGGAACATTTAAAAGGTAATTCTAGTTCCAATACACATGAACAGAAATCTCTGAAAGTGTGGGTGGGAGGAAGAGACAAAAATATTTTGAAGAAAAAATGATGAGATGTTTTAATTATTCAGTGGAACTGTGGACCCACATATCCTAGAAATTTTATAGTCTCCATAAAAACAATTAATTCTAAGCACTTCATGATCAACTCAATCAACACAGCATTAAAGAGAACAGTCTGAAAAACAATCAGAGAAAAACTCCAAATTACATACAGAGGAATAAAGATAAGGATGAAGTGGAAATCTCAGTGGGAGCTATAAACTATAAATACATGCAAAAACATAAATGAGTCAGAAATATAACATTAAACTCTAAAAGTTACAAAAGCATGTATAGATGCTCCTCTGTTTAGGATTACATGTTGATAAATCCGGAAGTTGAAGTGATGATAAGTCCCAAATTCAAGCCAATTGAATCGTAATTCCAAATAACAAGCCAATCAGCATAGATTACCCTAACTTAACATTAAGTGTACTCAGAATATGTAGATAGCCCAAAGTTAAGCAAAGTCATCTATCACAAAGCCTATTTTATAATAAAGTACTGAATATCTCATATAATTTGTTGAACATTGTACTGAGAGGGAAAAACAGAATAGCTGTATAAGTAAGCTTTCCCACCACCAAAAGTCAAACATAAATTGGGTGCCATCTATACATTGCACAATTTCATAGCTATGAAATCCAAAAGCAGGAAAAAAGTAACATTCAGAAAAGCATGCTTAGATGCTTGAAGGATAAAGTCTAGGTAGTGATCATTCTGACAGTCAGGTCGTTGAGTAAACTTCAGTGATTGCCAAAGAGGTATTGACTAGAAAGTACCATAAGGGGGCTTCAGGCCTGGTAGTTATCATAATACCATAGACTTTGTGTTTGATTTTGCTTATTTAAATGAGCTGTCTATATTGTTTTGCTTACTTTCCTCTTCATTTGTTGCAAATTTATAAAATGGTAAAAAGAGAAAGGAAAAATTAAGGAAGGGTATGAAAAGGAATAGAAAGAAAGGAATTAGGGGCTAGGTTTTTATTTCAGTGTGTAGGGCCTGCTTGGCAAGCATGAGGTCCTGAGTTCAAATTTCACTACCACCCCCTCAAAAAAAAAGAAAGA